GAATATTCCTTTTTCAAAAAGATAGCGGGAATCATATGCAAATAAACTGAAAGAAATTACAAGCGATGTTTAATAGCGGTGCAGTGAAAGGAGTGCGTTCGACATTAAGCACGTAAGATGTCTGGGAACCCTCATTCAATAAATAATTTACAGGCAGCTTACAATAAAATACTACATACATATGCATTCCTCAAGCCATATTCAAAAAATGGTAGCCGGTTGGATAAGGGACTTGGAATTGATCGCTACATGTTTAGTTTCTTCACTGAGCTGGAGCTGCAAAAGCATTGAATTTTTAACTACAAAAGCCTAATCAGTTACTGTAAGGCTTTAACCAATAAACCTTCTATCGTCATATACCGTTCACCCCGGTACTACCGTCAAGTATTTCATCGCGTTTTCATCCACTTGGCACACTTGGCATAAGGGAGACCGAAGCGGTTTAAATGCTTTCGATAACGCGCATGGCCTGTAAGAAACTCCGAAAAGTGATAGCTGACCTCTGCGTGTTTTCGGCTTGTTCATTTTTTCATGCTTGGGAATAGAGAACATGTTCGATCATTTGCTGGTTTCCCCTGACGAAACTTCTTGCACCTGTCCGGCTACCAGGACATGATCCGTAAGCAATCCGTTAACAACTCCACAATCCTTCCGTGATAGCCGTAACAAGAAGCAGGTATAATTGCTTTCGCTGTTTTTGCACACATTTTTTTGCAGTTTATCACGCCCACCTAGCCCTGAACTACTGAATCATGCCCTCGTCGTTATACACACAAGGTCCATGAATGTAGTTTGTCTGTTTTGACAGTCAGACTGGTGGCGCGCTTGTCATCTGCTATTTCATTACACTATATTCATTTGTGGACGGGTACCCAATAGATTTGCAACCCTCTGTATGCGACAAGCCTGTCAATGGCATCTCGGCTGCAAAAGATGTTTTTAAATGAAATACTAGATGAGATACTACGTTTAAATTAAGGTTTGAGTTGATTGTCATTTCGTTGTAGGCTATCTGTGCTGCTAACATGAAGTTAGCTTCTACGGTGACCATCCGTCCTTTATTTTAAAGGACAATCCTTTATTTTAAGCACGCTTTTCATCCTTTATTTCTTAAACTGTCCTTTAAATCAGCTCTGCATTTTTCAGAGGTAAATTTTAAAACACGAAATATGAAAAATAAAAATTTCCCTTATAAAATATAGTGAAAACCTTCGCCAGTTCGTTTCGCACCCCACTTAAGGGTTTTTATTTAATAGGTAATCTTTGCACAATCTATAAAGCACAGGGAAGGTTGTGCCTAGGAACGTGTGGCACGCTGAGTTTCCAGTTCCACTGAAAGAAAACAATAAACCCTAGTGGCTCAAAACTGGCATTTAGTGTACGTAATTCACTGGAGCTTTCATGTTTTTCACTTAATTTTTATGAAAGCTTATAATATTTGCAAGAGACGAGTTGAGCCAAATTTGTGAATTTTTATTTGATTGTATTAATTTTTTAGTGCGAAATGCAGAAAAAGTGGCAATTTTGAAGAAAATCTTTTCTCCTGTTCCTCTTAATAAATCTTACATAACAAAGACTAGTTGAAAACAATTGTATGGTTCCGCAAAACGAAAAAATTAAAGAAAAAAATGTTTGAAATTTAAAAAAAAAAATGTTCACCAAAATAAATTTTTGTTTGGTTTTTAGTAAAAATTGATTTAAAAATTAACACTACGGTAAATTATGAACATTAAATTCCAATTTTGAACCACTGTGTGCTGGCTTCGACGTGCAGTATGAATCAAGGTAAGCGCATTTTGGCAGCAAAAGATGGCGAAGTCCTTGAAAAGGATTTGGCTTCATTTTTCGCAATCGGTTAATTAACTGGTAAATATTTGATTTAAATTACGATATGGGTAAGGTACTTTTAGAAATACAAGTTGCATGTACGTATTCCCAAATCATTTTGAAAAAACATGTCCTTCATTTTACGTTGGTTAATATGGTCACCGTATATATAGACGGGCACCTAGCAGTTTTTTTCAACCAGTCTGCGGAATTGAAGGCATTCCTAATAGGACTACATATTGGTTAGGCTGTCTATGGGACGCTGGCTCGAACCAACTAGCGCTAAGCAAAAACTACACGGCATATAATGCGGATAAAGTCAAAT